GAGCGCTTCTTTTTTATATCATGGGGTTCTGAATTTGCCACTAATTTGGCCACTGTATTTCTTATTGGTAAAAAAATTTTGGCGTAAAAAGACAAAAACATGGTATAAAACCATTTTTTTTTCTTTATTGGCACGCTTTTCAGTGAAATTTTGTAAAGTTAAAGGGCAGTTAAAATATTCAGAGCTCCCTTTCAGCCAAACATTCTGGCTAAAAGACGAATAAAGTGAACTGATATGTGGTAATACATACACCAACAGAAAAGTTTTTTTTCGTGAAAGAGTTTCAGGAATGATTAATTTATTTCCCTAGCCATCAGGAAAAAAATGACAACAATAACCATTCTCTTATATCCATCCAAAAGTTAAATCAACGCCAAAACCCTTCTAAAAAAACTCAATTTAGGGGGAGATAAATGGATTTTTTATAAGCTAAGTTTGAGAATAGACTAGATTTGTTCTAATTTAACCGTTTTCCTGAAAAAATTGTATTAAACATCAATTTGTGTAATTAACAGCATACAAGTGCAATCCCGCATAAAAACGTTTTTTGTTTGCGTTTTTGTTTGAAATGCATATTTTATTTCAATTTATTACAGTTTTTTTTCAGAATTAAAACATACTTCGGGAGAGGGCATTCTACGTTAGGTCACTTAGGGGGGATGGGGGCGAGATTGTATCCGCACTGTAATTTCATGGATAATAATCATTTATAAAGGATTATACCGGCAAAAAGCCGTAACCCGAATAATCGATTTTCACGACCATCTAACTATGAAAATGTATTTTTAGGGGATAAAATCGATTATTTTCAATAATTTAAAATCCTTCATAAACGATTATTTAGACAGTATAATGAATTTTTTGGTCACAAAAACCCTTGAAAAAATTGTTTACAGCTAACTAAACTCTTGAAAACTTTTGGCTGAGAACTCTGCTTAATTACATTTTTATAAACATTCCGCAGACGTCTTAATGCTATAAAAACAAAAATCCCACATGAAAGTGCAAGTAAAAATAAATTACGCAGAGGTTTTTTTTTATTTGCATTTTTTAAATATTTCTCCTGGTGCAGTTTTTGAAGACTGGTGGAGTTGTAGGATCTTTTTGACTATATCCTCCCACCCCTCTCGGGTTTCTAGCAACGAATATTCCCTGTAAAGAAACAAATCAATGGTCAAACAAAAGAGAACTTCATACCTAGCAACAACACTCAAGCCTTTTCCGAAAAAGGGGTTATAGTTAAATAGATCCCCGTTACAGCCTGGTGTTTGTTGTTGTAGACTGGTGGTTGCGATCGTGATGCAGTTGTTGTTGCATCGTGAACGAGACAGGCTAGATACACCAGAAGCAGAAAAAATGCAGATCCTTTGCAGACAATCACAGGGGCACATATAGGCAATCACATTTATCCACTCAAAACGCATACATAGGGATACAAAGCTTTTTTTAGTTCAGATTAATTTTGCACAGAAAACAGTTCAATTTTCAATAGTGAAACAAACAAATCCGAAAATACAAATTATTTTTCTTCCAAACAACTTGTTCCGACTGCAGTTGGCTTTGTTCTAAATCAAATCATTGCTAGATGGTCGAAAAACAACGTTCAACGGGGAGGTCGATTAGGGTAGGGAGATGGGCGGCTCGATCGGGGGAGGTCGATGGGCAGGTCGATGGGGGCGTGCGGGGATGGGCAGTTCGAAATTCATAACACGCCCCACACCCTCTCAAAACTTTCTTTAAAGTTTTGTTAAAAACAATCTTGAAGCCCGCTATTTAGCATAAGTTTTGGTTTCAGAAACTTTCTTATATCCCATTAGGTTTTTAAAAAGTGGCTCTACAGTTTGGCACATCGGCTGAAAACATATCGGTCGGGATGGGCAGTTAAAAAAATAAAATGTTTCAAAAAACATTAAAAAATAGCAAATTTCTAGCATACATAAATCAAAACCACCAGTAAATTAAAACTTAAATCCAGTGATTTTGCAAAAATCTTCTTTGTTCTTGAAAACCATTTGCCATTCTAACTTCCAACCCGAACCATTTAAATTAAAACGAAATTTCCGAGAATTTAGAACGCCCCGGTAAGGCCTCAGTAAGGTATCCCAGAAAAGGTATCCCCGTAAAAAAAGTAAAGCCCCGGTAAGCTATCCCAGTAAGTTATCCCCGTAAACGCTATATTAGAGTAGAAAGCATCCCAGTATATTATTATTTTTTTCGGCCTAAAGTATTCTGACTATTTTCAGCCTAAATTCCATCGGCTAGGCGGCCGGTACCCTGGAGAGACGCTGACTCAACCTAGCTAGTTTTTTTGAATGGATGGAGATTGAAATAACTTCCTAATTATTGCAACTTTTAGGGTTGTTTTACATATGTAAGCTCATAAAAATATAGATATAGTTTGAAATTCGGAATGATGTTGAAGTTATAATCCTGACTCATTTTCTGACACTTCATTTTTTTTTCATATCTTGTTTCTTGTCTGTGTTTTTGCTCAATGGCGGGACTATCTATAGATTCCATCTAGTACATTCTTGATTTTGTCAATGAGGTTTGCTCCTTTTTTCTTGGTAAACTTTGAGGTGGTCGTAGTGTAATCAAGATGTGATAGTAGTTAGCTTTTATCAAGAAATACGTATAATATTTAGACATTTTTAATGGGTTTTTTGAGGTCGCACTAATTGAAGGTTTTTTTGAGGTCGCACTAAAAAAACTAATTGAAAAAAATTACAAAATAAATGAAAAAAAGTGATACCAACAATTACTCACACAAATTAAAATAATGCGAATTGAAACAGTGAAGTTTATTGAACAATAATGGATTAAAATCAATTTAAATTGGATTATAAATCATCTAAAACTTTGGGGGCGGGAAATATAAAAATCGATTGTAATATAATGGATTGTATTGCTTCGAAAAAAAGTAACAACCAATCCGTTTTTATTCGATGGCAATCGATTATTTTATAACCTAATTTTTCAGAGACTTACAATGAAAATCCAATATGATCGATTAGTGTCAACAAAACTACAGTACGCGTACGGTTGACCCAAAAATTTATCTAAATTTTGGTTTTCATACAGCTTTCTCAAAAAAATGATCTTGCAGCGAAGTGCAATTTTAAAAATTATGGTATTCCTACATTTCAGAAGTCTCGAAGATTCAGTTTTGACTATCTTTAAATAGTCGTCTACCCTAGTCGTTTGCATCGTGAAAATATGTCCGGGCAACTTAGAACGATAACCATCGAAACATTAGACAATTTTTCCATGAGAGCGAGTGAAAATTGAGACATTAGAAAAAAATCCTTGAGATTGAGGTGAAACTTGAGCATTTGTGCTTGTTCCTGGCTCTGTACTACTTGATAAATAAGAGCCCTTCACGTACTTTTCTAATCTTAATCCGAATTTGCTCAGTGACTGTTTTGCCTTCTCATCTCAGTTTGAGCAACGCAATAAAACTAACCTTGCAATCTAAGTCTAGTATCTTAATAAGCTGCAGAGTTTCAGAAGGTGACGTCAGGTACCATTGCTCATACTTCTCAGAAAGCAGACTTTGGAGGCGTTTGAAACTCTCTCTAAATTTGAATGGTGTACGTGCCAAAAAGCTGCTGACGTTTTTTGAAAAAAAAATTGACAAAGGCAATTTTTCTTGAAATTTTGCATCGATTCGTCAAGTAGATTTTGTTAGTTTTCTGTAAAGTTGGAATGTATTCAAATTTTCGACAGCTATGTTTTGCAACTGAGAATTATGCTTAATGAGAGTTCTGATACATGAGACTATCGTGCCTTATGCAGAAGATTGTAGTACGATGCCATATTAGGGACAAACTCACGTGAAATAGTGACTGGACTGTCTCTCTCTATTATTCCATATTTATTTATTTGAATTGCAGGTCATGTCGTTTTTGTTCAGGAGGAACGATCCGAAGAACAAGAGAGGAGAGGTTGACTTCGACAAAGAGCCTTTCTCACTCCACCGTAAGTACACCTGGATTCCTCCCAGTCCAACCCCCTCTCCCCCCTCCTCCACCCGTCCTACCCCCTCTCCCCCCCCCCCTCCACCCATCCTAACCGGGTCCAGGTCGCGGTTTTATGATCAAACGGTTGCGACCAAGTTTTGGTGTATTCAGACTAATTTTTCGACCGCCGCGACTAATTTTTCGACCATCGCGAACGAGATACGCTGTTTCCAGAGTTTGTCCGCGACTTAAGACCCTGTCCAGCCTATGGATTTTTGGTCGCGGACCCGCATCGAGGTCCCAGACTCATGCGCAGACTTTGAGGGTCGCGCCGCATCCGGATTTAGACCCAAATTGCATAGTCGCGCCGAGAGTTTGAGTCTGGAAAGTCTGGACACGAATCTTGGACCACCCGGGGAATTAACATTTCTGTGACCGACAAAGTCGAAAAATTAGTCGCGGACCTCGACCCGGGTAATCCAGGTTTGCAATTTATGTTTCGACCAATTCATCAGTCACAGCTCAGTCTGGTGATTAGACCACCTCGATTAAATCCGACTGTGTTGTCCGTCTCCGCCAATGGCATTTATGTTTTGACTATAAATTCGACCGAAGAAATAAACTTCAACCTACCGCATTGACAAAAATGGATTAGGAGCAATTTTAGTATGACAAAAATCTGTAGATTAAATTAGATTGATTTTAGTATGAAAAAAGTACGAAGATTGAATAGGAAAGATAAAGATTGATTTGGATTGATTTAAAATTGATTTAATTTGATCTTAAGCCCAGCTTAAAAAAAATCGATCCAAAACGGTGTCAAATCGATTTAAATCCATTTTTTGAGTCTTAATTTGTTTTTATTTTAATATAAATCAATTTTTTTAATTCGCATTTCATCAGTTATTCGAGTTTACATTGCATTTATTCATTGCTCATCCCTAGTGTATGGTAGCATAATAAAAAGACCGAATAGTTTTCAAAACATCAATTCTACGACTTGCTTGCATATTTCGAGTTCGAGTTCAAAATCTGATCTATATTGACCCTTATCTGGATTCGTTTCATATGTTTTTGCTCAAAATCTGATTTACATTCATGATTTTTGCGATTCGATTGCATATTATTGAAACCAAATTTTGATTTATTTTGACCCTATTCTTGCTTGTGACATAGATTTTTGCCCGTAGTCTGATTTACAATGATGATTTTATATGATTTCATTACATATTTTCGAGCTTAAAATCAAATTTTTCTAGAAAGATATATTAAATCAATTTAAAAAGGATTTAAGGGTGATTTAGATGGACTTCAGTGAGATTTGGATGGATTTCAGTGAGTCAGAAAATCCATTCAAATTGATTTAAATTGATTTTCAGACACTTAAATGGATCCAAGTTTTTCAAGACAGATCCATTTAAATCGATTGAAAATCCATTTAAGTTTGTAAAGTGTTCACTGTTAATTGACTTCAATTCAATTTCAAATCTATTTAAATCAATCCGAAACCATTTTTGTCAGTGCGGGTAAATTTTCCAATGAGCACTTTCGATCATAGAAACATTCAATCGAGAAAAAATATATATTCGACCGAACCACGGATTCAGGAGACAAGCGTAGAAGCGGATGCCCCTCGCACCTTACGAGTTTTACTTCCTGACAACCCAAAGGATCCACCATTGATACTTTTGAAAGATATCGAATTTTAGCTGACCGACCCAAAATACTCTAATTTTAAGGGAGAACTGTTGTTTTTGGGTCAAGATTCAAAAAAAGTGCCTAAGAAGCGTCTGCATACCCCCCCCCCCCCCCCCCCCCAAGCCCACCACTAATTTCGCTGGTACTGCCATCCATTAACTTTTACTTGGTCCTTGGTCTTTCTTCGTCCCAATTCTTCGTTTTACCTAGTCTGTTTTTCTCGAATTTTTTGCTTGCGTTCTTCTCTTCTCGGTTGGGTTTCACCCTCTCTTGCGGATTCATCCACTGGTTATGTAAAATGTTTCCCATCCGAAGAAATCGTCAAGTGTTCGCTATCGTGGAACCTTTTGCTGTAAATCGAAGTTAGCTGAAGAAAGTCTTAGGGAAAATCGTTTAATGGGATGTTTCAAGTAAACTCAAAATGAAGAAAGAAGATTTTTGGGAAATATGTGAAAACTGTAAATATACAAATGCTAATTCTGTCTCAAACAGTTAAACGACCACATTTTTTCCTTAAGGAACGAACCAAAAAAAATGCGGGAAACGTCCGTTTCTGTCTGTTCTCACCAAGTTCAGCTTAATTTAACCTAGCATTTAAGTTTCTTGCAATTTTGCAATTCAAATTATTTTGAAAAGGTTCACTCAAAATGGAAAAAACTGGTCTTAATGTTCAAATTTCGAAGAAAATGAAATATTTATGCTCAGTGTGGTTTTTTATTCAGTCGATTTTCAGCTATCGGAATAACAGTTTTGACAATAAATTTTTATGCCCGATTGAAGATATTGGCTGCCTGAAAACAAATTTAAAAGGTTATTTTACCTCCGATCATTTTTGCAAAGTTTTGCTAGTTTGAAAATTGCCAATTTGGCTATGCTCTAGTTTGAAAATTGCCGATTTGGCACCCTGAAGATTTTATTGATAATGCTGAAAGCGCAACGTTGATTATTGAACCGTGGTGAATTATGCTGCACAACAAAATCGTTCCAAATTGAATTGAGGCTAGCTAGTCGGTCGTGTTATTTTAGTACGGCTCAAATGGTCACACTTGATCTATAATGTTGTCCAAAATTTGTAGTTTTTCAATAAATTTTTTTCCAAACAGACTGTTTGATAAGGATTAGGGGCAGTCGGAGCATTCAGGGCTTTGCCCTAATATACGAACAGACTTGTTGGTCCCAAGAGTTACTGGTAAGCAAATCGAACTAAAAGTTGATTCCTATTTATAGAATTAAGTTTAAACCACCTGATTTTCAAGCCGTAAATTTGTTTCTAAATAACAAATAAAGATAATGCAAACAGAGATTTTAAAAAAGGGTTGTTTTACCGAGTAGTTTGCGTTCAATTCTGCCGACCACTTTAGTTATTGAGACTTTCGAACGAAATAATCAAACTTGGAGTGGTTTTTTAATCAGTCAATTTTCTACGATCAAAATTACAGTTTTTTGAAAGAAAAACTATACCCCATTGAAAATATCGACCCCTAAAATCATATCTAAGAAGATATTCCTACCTTGATCAATTTTTCAGAGTTCTGGGAGTTTGCCAATTTGGCTATGCTGTAGACAAAATTATATGCACTTTAAAGGTTTTATTCATAAGGCTGAAAGCGCAACGAAAATTATTTATGCGTGGCAAGTTATCCCACAAAACAAAATTGTTCCAAATCGAATCGAGGCTAGCTAATCGGTCGTTTTAATTTCGAGCGAGTCAATTTTCACACTTTGATATTGTCTAAAAGTGATAGTTTTTCAATTTTTTATTTTCCCAAAATCAATTTGATATTTAAGGGGCAGTCAGAAAATTCGAGGCTTTGGAATGATATAGGAGCAGGGGCGGTATTGGGAGGGGGCGCCAATATAGACTATATTTGAAGGGGGAGCGCGCGCCAAAAGAACGCGATTTTTTGGTCAACATTTTCAAAAAAAGTGCCTAAAAACGTTTTTTTTTGGCCTTTTTCTTTTTTGCGGCGCAGAAAATTCGGCCAAAACAGGGTCTTTTTAGTGCTTTGAGAGAGCTCGGAAAATCAATTTGATCGACCTAAATTCGGCCAAAACAGGGTTTTTTTTAGTGCTTTGAGAGAGCTCGGAAAAAAATTTGATCGACCGACAGTCAATTTGGGTTTACTGAAAACTATATATTGGTAATCCTAACAAAACAAAGTCAATTTTCATATGGTGCCTCAAAAATGGTCGTTATGTTTTTATGTTAAGTGTACTGAAATATTTGAAAAATTTTCAGCAGTGAAGTTTTGCTGCCCAGTATACTTCATTTTTGACAAGGCTAAAAAACCGTTTGAAAAAAGTTCAATTCAAATAAAACTAACATTTGTGGTAATAGTTTAAGACTAAACACTATTTGTTTTCAGCAAAACACGTCAAAAGATTGAACAAAAAACATGGTCTGCAGACACATTTTGTGGGTGTGATAAACCTCGCATCGAACGAACCTCACTTTTGCCAGCAAGTTCTAGAGGCGATTGAGAAAAACTTCAAAAACCTCAAATGCGACAATTCTAAAAGTCGAGCATCAAAAAATGAAATAAAAGCCGACCAGGAGCTGCTGATTCTTGCCGATGATGAGGACTCCGATGACGACGATGACGAAGGACTGGAGTCGATGGACTCTTTCTGGGATCCGGAATTATCCAATGGTGTCTGCAAACAGGGCGTTCTTGGGTTCAATTTTGGCCAGATGGCTTTGAGGTGTGCGGTATCAGTAAAAGCACAAGATTGCTTCACAGCAGACTTGGAACTCACAAAAAGTAAGTTCGATTCTTTTTATTTTTTTTTTGAAAGCTTCTCTCGTTTTCACGTTTTTTTTAACGTTAAATTTTTCATTTTCAAAGCAGCATTTAAAACTAAAGAGCCGGGATAAAGTATGCTAAATTTTTTTTTAATTAACGATCAAATTAGACTGACTCGAAAAAAATAGCACCGCCAAAAAACGGAAAAAAGAGACATAGGAAGAAGAGCATACAAAAAACTCACAGTAATCAACATCTCCTTTCCTAAGAGGAGACGCCCCCTCTAAGCCTGTCTCATGAATTCAATATGATCTTTTTTACAAAACAACCACCTTAGTTTACTTGTTTTTCAGAAATTCTTAAGCAAGGCCATTGGTTCCGAGAATTAGATGAAGAGGGAACTTACATGTTCAAAGCTCTTTTGCCCTCCAAGAACCAAGACAACTCATTCAGAATCCAACACTGGCTCTCTGGCTTACTCGTCATAACCGACAGTCAAAACTCAGACTCAGAGCACCTTAACTGTACGGAACTAGCTCGGAAACTAGCTGAACTAGAGCCTATTTTGAGACAAGCTTATCGGACGAATAATGCCATGAAAAGAACCCCTTCGGAAATTCAGAATAACCGACTCATCATTATGAACTCTTCTGGAGTTTGCCCAAAAATGAACCCCTCAAATGTCAATTTAGAGAATGTTGCTTCGCCCTGTCTGACTTGCCTGGAGATTAAGACCAATTTTGACTGCAAATTTGCGCCAGATTTGACCTCAGCTGTCAGTTTTCTGGTGGAGCAGGATATTTATAGATACTTCCCGGAACTCATACGAATGGTGAATATGGAGTTGTCAGGGCTCTATTAGCCAGGTGTTAAATGTATATCATTATGTAGAGTGATTGATATCTCGTCTATTTCCAGATCCAGATGTAAGAATTTGAATGAATTTTTAAAAATTGTTGAAGCCTTTATCAAAACATGTGTTGACTTAATTATAGAACTTTTTTGGAAGAACGAATTTGCTTTATAATGACTTCAATTTAGCAATTTATCCTAACTTTTTCGGCTTATTGGGTTCAAAACAAAGGAGTGTCTAACACTCGGATTTTCTCGTCGGACTCTATTAAATGAATGTCAAAAGTATAACAGCTATAAAACTCGACGTTCTAATTAATCGCGCTGTATCTATCTATAAATGATTATCATAGCTAAAATCTTAAATCGAGTGGTAATATTGTTCCAATAGTATTGCAAAATACGTATTGTTCCAGTCCCCCCAGAACTCACCCACAAATCATCGGAGGTATCTGTTTTTTTTTGCAAATTTGAACTCAAGAAGCGGGTATGTTTCTCGAAGTACAAAAAAATAGCTTGAAAGCTATGTTTTTTCAAACGCTGAAATTTTTCTGAATAAAAAACGAACCCGCGCAGGGACGGTGTCATATCGTCAACTCCTCGAGGTATGAACAGTTGGTTATTGAATCCGTATGGATAGATAATATCAAGCTTGTGAGAGAGATAAGTTAAAACAACTTGCTTTCGTAAGAGTTAATTATTCTCTGAACCGTAGTTCTCTTCAGACACCGTTCTCGTCCTTGTATCAAGGTCAATCGACCAGTACACAATAATGTTATATAATATCAAAACATAAATGGTATATAAATACATAATAAGTTTTGTATGGAATTTTATCTATCCATGCCGGATGACATTCCCCCTCCTCGGGAAAAATTGTAAAGTTTTATTTGAGTTTTTAAGTCGCCGTAGGACTGTTTAGCTGGTGTTATTCATATCTCCCCTCTTTGTTCTCCAATGTTGTTGTCAGTGATGTCATCTACTACTCCGTGTTCTTCTTCATTGTTTAGTTGTTCGTCTTGTTTTGGATCTTCTATATTTTTCGAATTTTCGCAAAATATATCATTATTGTCCATCTTTTCGTCATCTGCCTCCGCAGGTGAAGTAAGATCAATTAAATCATCTGTAACATTTGTTTTATGTTTTGGACTAATTGCCTGGATAAATTGTATGCCTGGATAAATTGTAGGCTTTGTATTCCGGAGTTTTTTCTGAAAATCCCATTTTCTGAACTAAAAATTTCAGGCTTGGTGTATCTGGTTTCGATTTCTCGGGTGGTGAATCGATTTCGAATTTTTTCGTCCCTGCTGTGCTTGTGTTTTGTATAGCGTTGATTGGGATAGGGTTTCCTAGTGCTGTTGCTAATGTCGCCTGTCTGGCCCTTGTCGATTTCCTTGTTGCGATTACAGGCGGTGTTATTTTTTTAGTTTTGTCGCTTAGGTGAAGGTGAAGTATTTTCCTTCGATGTGGACGACAGGTCGTCTTCTTTTTCTGTATTGATTGTCTTTTCCATCTCCGTTTGGAGACTCATCCCTCTTGGAGTTTGTAACTTTCTCGTTGGTTTTCCCCCAGTCCGTTTTCCCAATGCTTTTCTTTCGTGGGACTGGCTTTGCTTGTGATCTGACCTTGTGCTTTCTAGAATTTTCTCGAGGGGGGACAGATTTTTAAAAAAGTTCAGAAATTTTGTCGACTTTTTTAAGCAATACAAAATTATCTTTCGAGCACTCCCAGAACACTAAAAAGATCCTATTTTGACCAAAAAATTTGCTTCGCAGGCAATTTTTTTTTAGAAAAAACAGGTCAAATAAGCCAATTTTGGGCGCTTTTTGGAAAACTTGCACTAAAAATTGCACTTTTTTTCGGCGCGCGCCCTCCTTCAAAATTAGTGTATTTTGGCACCAAAAGCGCCAGAAAAAAATTAGGGCTGGTCGACCTAAAGTGGATGTCTGAAATAATACCAAAGGGGGGATTTTTTGGTTAGTGAGTGGTTAAACCCCTCCCCCCCCCCCCCAAAAAAAAAAAAAATCCGCCCCTGAACCCGAGCACAAAATGCTTTGCTACTTTCTTCGAAAACTAGAAGAAATCCAAAAAGTTTAAGAAGAAACAACGCTCACCAAATTTAACCAAATTTAGTATAAAGCGATCATGTTTGCCAAATTCGTTTTGTAATTTCAATGACCGTTTGGACTAAAGCGATTCAGGGGAGAGGATGTTAACTCGGTTCAACGCTGCATTTTTCAAACAATCAAAATCGAGCGTTTTTCCACTCGCGTTTTTATTCCAATTTTAATGCTGGGAGGAATATCTTATTTTGGGAGACTTAGGGGCTGGATGTTAGCTTGATCTGACTGTTTTTGATTCGAATAGTTAGTTCCTATTGAAGTTGCAACTGATCTAAGTGATGCTCGAACAAAATTTACCGAAAAACGTGTGTGCAAACTTGATAAAGTCTATTCTAATGCCAAAGTTTTAAACACTAAAAAAATCGATCCGGAAATGGCAGCTTCAAAAAATCAAGTTAATCGGCCATTAAAATTATTAAATTAATTTCCTTAAGTTAGAGACAATTTTTTTTGTTAAGTTTTGCCATACCAATATTTGATCACTTTGATTTTATTGATCCAGTAGCTTTTACTGTTCTAAAAACAAGTACAACAAGACTGCTCGTACCAGGGCGAAGCCCTGAATGTTCCGACTGCCCATTAAGGTTTATGGAGCAGTAATATCATTAAAAAATTAAAAGTAATAAAACAAAATGAAATTTTTTTTTCAAAAATTTGAATTTTTTTATGAAAATCATTACCCCACACGCCATATAAAGTACAAAAGGATAGATTTCGCTACTTATAACAAATTATTTATGGCAAATAAGCTTCGTTAAACCAATTTGGAACGATTTCTAAGACGGATTAAATCTCGCTTACGCGTTAATAGCGCGAAATATATCGCGCGTTAATTGTCCCAAATGGCAATCTTTAAACCCCCATATTTTTACGACAAACAATCACAGGTGAAACATTTTTTCAAATTTGAGCTCAGGACAACAATACCTTTCGAATGATAGAAAAAATTTTGTCGAAAATGGCTTGTTAAAAAGTCGAAATTTGTCTGAAGAAAAAAACCCACCCCGAGCACAAATATTCCCTTACTTTCGTATCGAAAGTCGGAACAATAATCCTCTTTAGAGTGCAAATTAGCGTAATTTTAATGTCATAAACAAATTCTCATGGCACATAATTTTGTAAAATTTTATGTACTTCTTATATTTACAACTTTTGTTCTGTCGTATATTTTGGAAAATTCTTGGCTCCTTTCCACTTTTCCCCACATTTCAAATTTTCTATTTTCTTAGATGTTTTACGTGCTATAACGGATATATGAATGATATTACAATGAAAAGTATTTGACAAAATTTGTTCACAATTTGTTTTGTTTTTTGAAAATTGAAATTCAAATGTGGGGAAAAAGTGGAAAAAGCGAAACTCGCAAGTTGCGAAAAACAACTTTCAACACAGTTTCGGAAGAAAGCGTCCGACGTTTCCAGTTTTGTTCCTTTTAACCGTTTAATTTAGATTCAGTTCTTGTCTGCTAAATTAAATTGAATTATAAGCTTCGCCTCGTTTTATTACCAAAGCCAAACAAGGATATCTTAAATAATCTACAAGACCATTGGTCACATATAATTAACTTTTAGTTTTTTTTGTCTTTTTACGTTTGCGATTAGAAAATCGGAATAACGGCTTTTTTTCGAGTTATCAACTTATCTGACAGAATCATTTGTAAGTGTTAGTATCTTGGTTCATAATAGACTCAAATTTAGCAGCGCGCACGGCACACTTAGTCTCGCGGCAACGAATATGTCTGTGACTGCAAAGATCCTGCGTTCGAATCTGACCAGGACCTTTTTTTTCAATCGGAAAATATTCCATTTCAAAAAAATTGTCGGTTTCCTATTTGTCAACTTATGTTTTTTTCTGCTCAGTTGCCCCATCGTAGAATTTGTTTGCTGTATGCAGTTTTCATTGTAGATGCCTTTCATGTTTTCATTTACTTCTGCAGTTTGTAATTCTACTAACCTTCACTTCGTATTTTTTCTTTTTTTGAACTTTCGGCTTGACTAAATGTTCGGCCTTAATGATTTCGGCTTATATTTTATCAGCTTACTAACCTAAATTTGAGTCGATCAAGTGAACCATAATTCTTATGCTTTCCTTCGCATCGCTCAAAACGCTTAAAAATTTAGAATAGATATTATAGTTCAAATTTTTGCATGACAACGATTTTTTTTGCTTGAGTGTTGTTTTTGAATTATTTTCAAACGCCATCGAATGTGTTTCTGGACGTGTTTTCTGCAAATATAACATCATTCCAGGTAACATTTTGAAGTTTTTTTTAGCTGTGGTTTTTTCGAGCTATTTTTTAGGTTTCCTTTTGATTTAGTTGCTTCCTTTCTTTTCGTTTCTGCTAGCGTGTGTTTATTTTTTTGTTGTTGTTTTGGGTTGCCCTAAACTGGAATTTTATCATACTAATGGTGAGTTTTTATTATTCAAACTACACTTCGTCAAAAAATTTGATTTAAAAAGCATGATTGAATCGGACGAACAAAAATGATAAACCAAAAAATAAAAAATAATAATAAATTCTCAGATTGATCAACGAAGTTTCGTACGGCGGGTTTTTTATATAAATATTTTTTATGCAAAATTGTACACAACAAAGAAATTTCTCAAGAAGATGAATGAGGCATCATATTGAAAATAATACTTACAAATTTAATTAAAAATTTTCAGATGTTCTTTTGAATTTGCTGTGATCTAAACAAGACTGCTCGTATCAGGGCAACATCTGAATATTCAGACTGCCCTTTGACAGCTTTGAAACACTTTTTGAAATCATCAATATAAAAAGATTTATATTTTCAAAAAAAATAAAAGATTTTTTGAGAATTTCCCCCCACACGCTATTTCAAATACAAAAGGATGTTCTTAGTGTCTAGTAGCATATTAAAAACACCAAGTCTCTTGCCTCACTTGCCCCTGATACAAGCAGTGTTGTTTGTAAATAGCACCGTATTTTTAGTTTCAAATCGCTTGCCTCATCATATCGAAATTTTAAACAGCCGCTTAAGCGTTAATAGCACAAAATAATTTTCAAA